GAAATTCTCATCTTTTTCCTGAGGAGTGGCTAGTGGTTATGAACTGCTGACCTTGCGGTTAGCAGCCCAGGGTCTCCTTAGATGGTCTGAATTGAATAGCTTGAGTATGCATCTTTATTTGGCAAAAAGAACTAGATGTGTTTGGTGTCATTTTCTAATTCATTATGGGGTAAATTGGGAGGCTGGCTTTTTTATAGGAAAACAAATTTTAAATGTACCCAGCGATCTGCTCATCTCAGAGTTGAGTCTCATGGCTTTTTTGATTCCTCTCTACCCAGATTAAATTGTTCTACGAGCCTTTCCTGATTCTATTTGATCTCTCTCAAAGTTTATAATGGGTGTCAGTTAGATGCTTTCTCACATTGTGAAGGTTAAAATTAGAGAAAATAAGCAATGATTGCCATAACATTATATTTCAGGTTGGCAAAATAATAAAAGTGTTTGTTTGTTTTTTCTTGGAGAGTCATCAAATTAAAAAGTGAGCTTATTTTATCTGGCAGGATGTAGGATTCGGCTCCTGAGGGCTTAAAGGATTTGCACAGACAACTTCCCGGAACTGTTTTCGGTGGAAATCTCACGTCCTTTCCTCAGACTCACCATCCATCAACATATATTGTCCGATACCAACTTTGTCCAAGCTGCTCCTCTCAACACGCAGGGGTTGCAAAGTCGGCCCGTTCCTACTCTCCGAGAGCCTCTAATGCAATGGAGTCGGGAAGCGAGGTGTGCTAGAGGCGAACAGGAAGATAAATGCACGCATCTGCTCCCCGACAAGGGGAGAGGGCTCCCCTGAAGAGGAACAAGCATCACAGGAATGCAGAGGAGAAGAAGGTCTGTCTGGTTGGGGGACTGAGATGGGGCTCATTTGAAAACGCAGCGTTCTGAGAGGTGGTCGTTTCCATGTGGAAAACAATGAGGTAGAACCAGTAGAGAGATTCTTGGCAGGAGAGGGAGTGGAGAGGCCACGACGTTGTCCTCACTGGAGAGTGGTGTGTTCCAAGGCCAGCAAGACGTTGTCATTTAATTTTGCATACCACATCCCTCCAGATTACAACTTGAGGGGGTTTGTGTCAAAGCTATTTTTCAAGGAACGAAAAATATTTTTTATTTACATTAAAAAAATGTAAATCCCAGCTTATACTGCTGCAAACTGTTAACAAATCAGTCGATTCTTGACTCTGCCAGCCTTGTCTTGATCCTACAAGGGACGTAATTAGCTTGAATCATGGAGACAAGTAACCAGAAGTCAAATAACATGTTTGGGAGGGTCCTTCCTCTCAGCTAAGCACTGTGACATCTTAACCTCGTTGCTTTCATGTGGCATCGCCTGGGTCCACCTCCAAGAAGAGTGCTGGCATTTAATAGTATTGTTACCCAACACGCTTCCTTTTACTTTACGGAAACTTCCCAGGGCAATACATCATTTGACTTCTTGACTGCTGCTTCCATGAGCATTGATTGTGAAGACAAGGAACCTGAGATCCTTGACAATTTCAATTTTTTCTCCATCTGTCTTAATGTTGTTTATTGATCCAATTGCGAGAATTTCTGCTTTCTTTATGTTTAGGTATAATCCATACTGAACACTGCATTTCCCCCATACATGTTTAAGTTCTCTACCCTCATCAATATACTGCTGCATCTGTTACTGAATGATCTTCAGTAAAATGGTGTTGCATATGGTATTAATGATAATGCTAAATATTATCTCTGCCTTTGGCCGGGTCCCCTTTCTTCGGAAGGGGCACACACGGATCTCTTAGAAGACCACGTAGCTCTGTTCTAAAGTTCTTGGTAAAGACAAGTGACTGCTTCTGGTGCTGGGGTTCTGTTAATTACTGGAGCTTTGTTGTTGTTAATGCCTTCAGTGCAGCTTGGGCTTCGTCCTTCAGTACCACTGGGTTTTTCTCATATGCCACATCATGAAATGGTTCAATATTGACTGTTTTTGGTACAGTGACTCTGTATTCTTTCCATCTGACTGTGATGCTTCCTGCATTAGTCTCTATTTTGCCCACAGAATCTCTCAATACTGCAACTTGAGGCTGGACTTTTTTCTTCAGATATTTCAGCTTGATATAGGCTGAGTGTATCCTTCCTTTTTGATTGTCTAACTCCAGATCCTCTCATATTTCATTATAAAACTTTACTTTGCCTTCTCAAGCTGCCCTTTGAAAATTTCTTTTCATCTTTTTAACTTAATTATTTCATCCATTTCTTTTAGCATTTCAAGAGCACGTTTCAGAGTATCTTTCTGACATCCACTTTGGTTTTTCCTTTTTCCTGTCTTTTGCATGATCTCTTGCTTTCTTCATGTATGATGTTCTCGATAGTACCCCGCAGCTAGCTCATCAGGTCTTCTGTGACTAGTGTGCAGTGCGGCAAACCAGTTCTTCAGAGGCTCTGAACATTCCAGTGGCATATACTCAAGACGGTATCTTGACTCTCGTGGACTTGTTTTAATTTTCTCCAACTTCAACTTGGACTTACATATGAACAATTGATGGTGCGTTCCACAATTGCACCTTGGCTTCATTTTAGCTGTTGATATTAAGCATTTTCCATCTTCTCTTCCCACAGGTGTAGTCATTTTATTTTTGTGTATTCCATCCGAAGAAGCCCATGTATTATCATCGCTTATGTTGGGGGGGGAAAGGTATTCTTGATGAAGAAGTCATTGGTCCTGCAGAATTGTACCCTGCGACCTCTAGCTTTGTTTCTATCACCAAGGCCACCATTTCCAACCATTGCTCCTGCCTCTTGTCTGCAACTTTGCCCATCCACTCACCAATCATTACCAATGCCTCTTCAGTGCCTGTTCGATCTGTGTCAGGCTGAAGATGTTGATAGAATTCTTTCATTTCCTCCTCACTAGCTTTGGTAGTTGGCACATGCATTTGAATAATAGTTGTATTGACTGGATTTCCTTGTATGCAGATACATTTTACCCTATCACAGACAGTACTGTACATCAAGCTAGAGCCTGGTGTGTCCTTTTCAATGCTGAATGCAGTATCATTCCTCCTGAATCGGTGGTTCCCAGCATAGTAAAGCATAGGATTGTCTGATTCCAAATGATCAATACCAGTCCATTTCAGCTCACTGATACCTAGAATATTGATCTTTGTGCTTTCCATTTCATTTTTTGAAGACTTCTAAAAGGTTATGGAGCACAGTTGTAAAACACAAGCATCATTAGTCAGGACCAACACCACAGTGTCTGGCTAGTTTGGGTTTGGCTTAGAGGAGAGGTAAGGCTTAAGGATGAGAAAGATGGCTAGGAAGTTTTGTACAAAGGAGACATTGAATATAATCTAAAACACTGTCATTTGTATGATAATGCACCCATCAAGGCATCTCAGGACAGGGCCAGGCAGGGACTGGCTAAAGGACACAGAAGGAGGTGGCTGGGCCTCTACCAGGGAAGCAAATACAAAAGGCGGAGAAGAAGAGGTGTATGTTCCTCCTCGCACTGGCTCCATCTTGCGGGGCCTTTCTCATTAGGAGAAGCAGGGACAGTTTGACTTCTGGCTTCCTGCCCTCATGTCCCCTGAGGGTCACACATGAGACACACAGACCTGGAACAGGGCCAGGAATACTTGCTAACTCAGGGCCCTTGCCCTGAAAGTGGAAAACTTAACCCCTCCCTCCGAGGATGTAAAATTCCTTTCGAGGAGAGAAAAAGCTTTACATTTCCAGCTGAGAGGCTGAACATGCAAATGCCTGGCTCGGAAACCTTGTCGTGTGTGAACAAGGGATGCCTTCATGCTTGTGGTTAGCAGCGCACACCCACCGGTGGCTCTACTGGGGAAAGGCGAGCCTCTTCTCTCCCTTCCAAGTTTACCGTCTCCGAAATCCAAAGGGGCAGTCCTGGTCTGGCCTGTGGGGTTGCTAAGAGTCCGAATCAATTCGATGGCAGTAGGTTTGGAGTGGTTTGATTCTTGTGCTGGAGACAGGAAGGGCTAGGAAGTGGTGAACCTGAGACAGAGAAGGGCCCTGGACCTACAAGGCCTCGCTACTTCTGAGGGTTGCTAGGTTCCCCCGATGCAGGAGAGACAGCACAATTATCCTCTGGGACATTTGGCTCAAAGAAGGTAATGCTAGGTCACATGTCCCTTTTATGTTAGTGTCAACCCATCACTGCCTGGGTCCCTGGGTCTGCCATTACAAAGACCCCCAAAGCATGTGGTTTATAAAACCTCCCAAGTCCCTGCCACTGAGTCAATTCCAACTCTGAGTGAACCTAATGGGCAGACTAGATCTGCCCCTTTGAGTTTCTGAGGCTGCAAATCTTTGTGGAAGCAGAATGGCCCTTCTTCCACCAGAAGATCAGCTGGTGTGTTTGAACTGCTGACTTTGTGGTTTGTAACCCATTGAGTAACCCACGATGTCACCAGCATGTTGTCACATAGGCCTGGAAGCAAGCACTTCACATCAGTGTGTCAGCTGCGCTTCTCCAGCTGAAGATTCTGGGACCAGAACCTTTCGGGTTGTTCCCATCTTCTGGTAGCCCCAGGCTTGACACTCCTGAGCTTGTAATGTCACCACATGGCCGATCTTCTGCCTTCTGCCCCTCTGTGTCTCTTCTCCTTCTTTATAGAAGCACCACTCAGATTGGTTCCTCCCCCCGCCCCCATGCCATAACACCCAGTGCTAATTTAATAGAGAAGAGCTTCAAAGACCTTGCTTTGAAATATAGTGTGAATCAAAACTGAGGTTCAGTTGTGAGAGGGATGAGGAAGGGAATCCTAGTGAGGTAGTGGGTTATGAGTTGGACTGCTAACCACAAGGTGAGCAGTTCAAACCCCGCAGCTGCTATGCAGGAGAAAGGTGAGGCTTTCTGTTCTAACAATTTACATTTTGGAAATTCAAAGGGACAGGTCTGCTCTATTCTGTAGGGTTGCCATGGTGAAGGGGTGAAGACTTCGACATATCTTTTGAGGGGGCCACAAGTCAATCTGAGACACTGTCTCTTTGAGCTCTCCCCAGGTGGTGGAGCAATGCTTGAGAGGTGAGTTTCCAGGAAAGCTATGCCCACTAGAGCCCATGGCTTCAGGATGGTTTACCTGTCGTTTTCCTGCAGGCCAGCCTTGAGCACAGGACCGCAGCTCCTGTGGGTTTGATCTTTAAATCAAAATAGAAAACGATTGATACCATTTTAATCAACTTATTTTTGGAGTTTGGCATCATCCTTGTCCTTGGGCTCTGTAGTTACTTACCGACAAATCATACTATTCATCTATTGATCTGCTGTCAATCAAGCCTTCCCCAGCCTATTAAATCACACCAGATCCACTGGGTTGTTTTCAGAGTCGGCATGTTGGACAAGCACAGCTGTTCCTTCTGGTCTACCACCTCGTGGAGAAAGGGCAGTGTCCTCTGCATGGTGCTTGTGGACATTGGCGTTGACCATGTTTAAGGTGCCAAGCTAAATCAAGCCCTCCCAGCTGGCTGTTTCTCCAGCAACTGAGTGTGGGCTTGCCCAGCTGTATTTTAAGCTGAGCCCGAAGCCTCCCTCTGTTTGGTTTTGTTGTGTTCTGCAGGATTTTGGTCTAGCTACCAAAAATAAATGAAAAGGATTTTCTGGTGAGCTTCAAATATGTAAATTCAACCAGAAGGAGCAAGAGGAACTCCAGGGCTGGCATGGGAATTTATGATTTGCAAGGCTCTGTCCAGCCAGTGGGAAGCAATCTCTGACCACCCAAGTTCATTGTTTGCGACCACGGAAGAAGGGGGCCACCATGGCCAATATGCACTTCAGAAAGCTTACCTTTCACAAGCACTTCCAGAAATTCACAAAACTCCGTGTTTAAGTGAAAGACAGGATACACAGGATGTTACCATCTGTGCGGAAAAGCAGAAAGTACATGTTTGTACATGCAAAGAATGATCTGGAAACCTTCACTGGTAGGGGTGGGTACTTCTGGTGAGGAAAACAGAGAGCCTGGAGACCAGAGATATTAGAATTTTTTACTCTGTGTGTGCATTACTTACCGCTTTTATGCTGCTAAAATGTGCTATTTGGGTATGATCATCTGTAAATTGACAAATGTAAAACTATGGCTTAATTATTCCATTATGGCCAGAGCAGTTTGTGATGGAGTGGTTTGTAACACAGCGCCTTCTAGAACCCTCCCACTGAAAATGTGGGGACAAACAAGCAAAAATCAACCAACCAAACAAACAACACATGCATGTGAGTTCCCAATACACACACGTCCCCCAACACACATATTTGCCAACACAAAATTGCACTCATGTAGGTTTTGAAGACCGGGAACAGAATGAAAAGGCTGGAAAGAAATACGCCAAAACGTTCATCGTACTTGATTCTGCAAGGTGTAATATGGGTACTTTCTATTTTTCTTTTCTGCATTTGTATATATATTTAAAAACCTCAAAAAATAGACTCTGGCCCTTATTTCCTTGTTTTAAAAAGCAGAGTCTACAGAAACTGTAGAAGAATCTATATAGCAAGAAGCTTTGAAATGTTAATATTTGTATTTTTCTTATCATTTTTACTTCACATAATTCAGGGGTGACTCGTAATGACGAATGCCTGATCCTTAGATCAACTCCTGTCAGTTCAACACTACTCGTCAGACAGCTGGTTTGGCACTGGATGAATGAGACACCATGTGGGTCTATTTATGTAGGAAATATCCTTTCTCTGAAGATTTTCTGAAGCAAGAAAACCTTTGCACTGACCAAACTTAATAAACTATTTTTTAATCATCAGGGATAAGGCCTTTATATCCACTTCCTGCAGCTTTTCCACACAAGATATCTCAGGTGCCACCCCAGCTTGAACGAGGGAGGCTGGGCACACTAACCTCCTGGTCATTGGACTCCTCTCTTGTGTTGCCTCGCCTATTCTATAGCACAATAATAAGACGGAGTGGGAACAATAGGAAAGGAAAGGAAAACTCTGGCAGTTACATAAATTCATGTCAACTTGATAAATAACTACAGGGGTGGAGTCTAGCCTGTCAATCAGAGCATAGCCTGATGATGCCTCCTTGTGGGCGTGGCCTTCTCATCAGGATTCTGGGAACTTCCTTTCCTTCTCCTTGGAGGAGGCGGGCTCTCTCTCTCTCTCTCTCTCTCTTGATATAAAGCTTTCTCTTACACATATATCAGTGTCCCTGGGTTTGTTTCTCTAGTCAACCCGGCCTAACACAATAAGCATATATGTTCATAGCCAGCTAGAATCACAGCACTTCTACTTACTGCAGCATTTTAACCTTCGGGACCAGATGTGAGCTCAAGGTCAGTATAAGACAATGTCGATAACTCCCTCTAAGTTGTTCCTGGAAAGGAGCTTGATAAGCACTGTCTGAATGAGGGATGAGGGCGATGAGGGCGTAGGTGAAGAAGGTCCCAGCGTGAGAGAAAGACACTGGGAAGAGTCACTGAAAGCACCAAGACTTTCCTGGAGGACGTGTGGTCATGAGCACTCAAAGGGAGTCTTGGCTACACAGAAAGAGCTATCATGCTGCAATGCTCCCACTAAAACCACCTGGAGATCCCATCAGAACCTGACTGTGCATCGTGGTAGATCACTGGTTCCCAGGGAGTCAGGCCAACCTCAGAACATCCAGAATATCTTTAATGGCTGGTAAAATGCAAGTGTAGAAGTAGAATTTTTTTGTCTTACCAATACCACTGAGAATGAACCATGAATTTTTAATGCACCCTGTAGTGTTAAATTAAAAATGGTGCGGGGGAGTGGGGTGCCAGCCCCCACCCGCTGATACTACTATTACTACTACTCGGATTCAGTAAGTACAATTGTACGGTTGAGATATATAAGCATTATATTAAAGTCATCGAGAGCATGAGAGATAATACAATAATACAGTCAGACATAGTACATGGTAGCATTGCTCACCTCCGCCCCGCTTGGTGGTCATCATGGGGGGAACTCGGCCTGCCAGAGCAGGAGCCGCCTCCCTCGCGGGAGCTGCCCTCTCGTCCACCGCCCTCATGGGAGCCTGCCCTCTTGTCCACCTTCCTCATGGGAGCAGCCCTCCTTCCTCAGCCGCCCTCGGCCAGCCACCCTCGGCCAGCCACCTTCGGCCAGCCACCCTCCTGAGAACCAGGGAGCCTCCTTATTTATTGCTAACCCCGCATCATATTACTTTAGGGGGATACATCACAGCATTATGCATCACAGAGAGGGGCAATACAATTCACAACAACCTGCATCATAGGGAGGGATTGCAACATAGGCAATACAAACAATAGGAGGGGGATAACCTAGTCACCTTAGAGTGGTCCCGGGCTTGCCTTTGGGCACTGTTTCAAGGGAACAATAACAGAAAGGAATGGGCCCTATTTGGGGTGAGTCAGACTATACAGTCTGGCCGCTCTAGATGGCTGATGCTGAGGAGAATAACCTCTGACCTATTTTCGCTGCCTAAAGAACAGTCATTCTCAGGCTAAGTCTGGCATATATTTTGGGGATACAACTTAAGAGAAATCCTTCTGTTCCCCACATACTATGTAATATGTAACTATGTAACATATATTTAATATGTTATATGTGACATTTATATAATATATGTGACATATTATTGATTTTATATTTGTTATATATGATATAATATTATATTTATATATGCCATGATGTAATATATAACATAATATAATATATAACACATAAAACATAACATATACCATATACTTACAATGTATATTAAGAAACAAAAAATGACTATATATGATACATTATAACTATATATATGCCTAATATAATGTGATCACATTCCATAATGTGATGCAGAGTCAACAATTTAAGTCATGGATCCTAAACCTAATCACTTCTGAGTTTTAGAAAGAACAGCACAGACAGGCACACACAAGGTGTGGTGGTTACATAATCTCATGTCAACTTGAGTGATGGGGTGGTGTCTAGCCTGTCAATCAGGTCACATCCAATGCCCCTCTGTGGGTGTGGCCCATACACTCTGCTTCACATTTCTGTTGACAAGTCACATGGAGCCAAGCTGATGGTAGCTGGAGCCCTGTAAATTTCTCCACTGCTATTGCATCCACAGGACTTTGCACCCACCGGCCTGTGATCTTCCTGCATTTGGCATCATTGCTTGTGCTGCATGAATCTGAAGAGGAATTCATGGACTAATATCGAACTTATGGACTTGATCTGGACTGAGCTGGGATGTTTTATTGATGCATAATTACTTCTTGATATAAAGTTCTTTATATATATATATATAAATATATATATATTCATATATATATGAATGTCCCTGAATTTGTTTCTCTAGTCAACCTAGACTAACATATAAGGAGAAAGTGCTATTGGCTATTTGATTATGAGCGAGAGTTTAATGAATCTTTTGAAACTCTTTTTGATGTGATGGTTAGGTTTTTATGTCAACTTGATATATCTGTAAGCAGATTTGGGTTAAGTCCAATCTGTCAATCAGGTCACAGCCTAATGAAATCTCCTTGTAATAGAGCCTATTTATTAGAGACCCAGTGGAGACTTGGTCTTTTTCTTTCACTATGATTTGTGTCTGGGGCCAGCATCCCACATGGCCTGCTGACCCTGGGAGCTGTTGGCACTGTATCATGCCCTTGCCAATCTTGAATCCATGCGGCTGCACCCACAGGCCTAGGGTCTCCCAGTCTCCTGTTTTGTCTTCCTGCTTCATCCACCACAGCTGCATGAGGGGCCTTTGGTTAGCATCTGACCTACAGATTTGAGTTGAACTTGGCTGGGCTGCTTCCTTGATATAAATTTCTTCTTCCACACATAGAAGTAGCCTAACACTCTAAAAGTAGAACTTCCATACATATTGTTGCGTTGTCTCTTTTATGTCATATCTATGAGCCATCTTTCTATATTTGTTTTATGTTGTTGTGGTTAGGTGCTATCTAGTTAGTCCCAACTCATAGCACCCTTTTGTACAACAAAAGGAAACACCGTCAGTCCAGTGCCAAGTTTCCTATGGGATGCTGGTGGTCTTTGGCCTCCTTTTCCGTTCTCTCCCATTGGATTTTTCCTCATCGCTCAGGTCCCAACTCAGGGCTTCACCACTGGAAGGCATCGTGACTTCTTCCACACTCAGTAGCACTCAGTCTGTGTTTCACTTTCGTCACACACAAGCCCGTGTTAGGGTGCAGATGTCTGCTTCCAGCACTAGATTTTGACCACCTTGGTCTTGGGGTGCTCGATTTACAATGTGGTGGTTTACCCTCTTTCCTACCTACCCCGGTCACTTTGTTATCTGCATTGGCGCTGCTGTTTCATTTCAAGTTGGTGATTCGGTGACAGACAGAATTCATGCAGAATGTGTAAGCTAAAGGCATCCTTGAATACTTCTGTTTCCCTATATTCACTAAAATGACAGTAGCAATAACAACCTTGTCACTTGATCTCCCCTCTGGTAGTTGGGTCTAATCTGGTTTTCAATATTTTCTGTAGGGTTTCTTGGTTTGGTTTTTCATATTGGGGTCTATCTCTATTGTATTTCATCATTATGGGTAGCCTTCTTGAATCTTTGTTACCTGTTTGTCCTGTTTTTTGGCATATGAAGCCCAGGATAGATGTATCTAGAGAGACAACAACTGGAATAAGGGTTCCTGGGGGATATAGGAGAGAGGTGGGGGTGGGGTAAGGGGGAGCTGATATCAAGGAGTTCAAGAAGGAAGAATGTTCTAAAACTGATGTTGGTAGCAATTGTACAATACTGCTTGATGTGATTGAATTATGCAATGGTATGCTGTCTGGATTAGCTCCCAATAAAATGGTTTGGAAAAAAACAACCCAACAACATTGAGGAACCAAAATGGCAAATGGATGCTAATCCCTTCTGTTTTCAGCTGGATTTCCTATAGGAGCAAAATCAAATATATATTTTAAATATATATAT